TCTTTGGAAAAAAATAGAAAATGAGCAGGCATTTTTCTAAATGCTCCTAGAGATTTTGTTTCCCCTTGTCAACAAATGGCTCTCAATGGCCTAAGTGAAAAACCTAAGTCTTGCTGTCTCATCTTTTTTCTCTCAAAACCCTTTCCAGCAGATGCTGTCATCTTTACCTCAGTGAGTATCAGGAGTCCGTCCACTTCTCCCCATCTCCACCGGGTGCCCTGGCCTGTCACCATTTCTTTCTTGGTTTGTTGGATCTCCTACTTCCTCTTGCTTCCTTTCAACCCACTTCCCACCTGCAGCCAGAATAACATTCCTTATAATGAGAATTTGAGTCATTCCATTGCTTAAAATCCTCCCATAATTTCCTGTTTCAAAGACAATAAAATCCAAGTCCTTGACAAGTTGGACTTTGTCACACTCTTTGGCCTTATCAAAAGCCACTTGTCCCCTCAGTCAAGCATATTGGCTTTCCTCATGTTTCTTGCAAATACCAAGGAAGAGTCTACCTCAGGAACTTTGTACTTCCTGTGTCTGGACTTCTCTGTCTCCAGAGTTAGCCTGGTTCTTTCCTATTATTTAGATCTCAACTCAAGTGTCAACTCTTCATGTCAGTCTTAAACTCTCTAACTGCTCCTTGCCTCCCCATACCATACTCACATGATTCTATCAGTTCACATTACCTTTTTGGCTTGTCATGTTTCCCTCCCATTAGAAGGTGAGCATCGGTTAAAGCAGTGCTTTGGTTGATCTTGCTCGCTACAGACTTCCCTGGTCTAGAACAGGACCTGGCACCTAGCAGGTGTTCAATTACCACATATTGAAGGAAGGAAGGAATAATTCATCAGGTCAGAGGTGGGACCTGGGAACAGCAATTTTTTTAAAGATTTATTTAATTCTTTATGCATAGAAGAACTGGGGTGCAGGCTAGAGGTGTAGGAGTGAGAGGATTCATGAGAGACAGAGTGGGGAGCAGAACAGGTGGCCCTACTGAAATATACTGCTGAGAGGAGTTGCTGGCGAGACAGGAGAGGTCTGCTGGGCCATGTGGGTCAGCTCCCTGGCTGGGGATTGAACTCAGGCCACAGCAATCATAGTGTGATATTGTTGAGACTTAACCTCCATGCCACCAGGGAGGCCAGAAAAAGCAATTTTTAAATTTGATCTGTCATCACTTTAAGTACACTGGGCTACACAGTTACCTTAACAAGCATAAAAACTGGAAAGTTGATTAGGTGCCATTAAATCAATGACTGTGAAATAAATAGCAATAGAGCAATTTGAGATTAAAAAGGAAAGAAAAAAAACCTTTCCGGTCAAAAACTATGTTGTGTGGAGAAAAAACACAACAACATGGACCAAAAACTCAAATAAATGCACCTCACCAATAGCTGTAATTTACCTAGAACATCTATTGGAAAGAAAAGCAAAAATAGCCAGGCATATAAAAGATATTAACTACATGCATTCAGTTGGGGGTTTTTGTTTGTTTTTTTGTTTTGTTTTGTTTTTTTAAGATTTATTTATTTATACAAGAACCAGTGTACAGGCCAGATGTGCGGGAGAGTGAGAGGATTCACCAGACAGAGTGGGGAACAGAACAGGCAGACTGATGAAATACACTGCTGAGGGGAGCTGTGGGCGAGATAGGAGAGGTCTGCTGCTCCATGTGGGACCCTTGCCGGCCGGGATCAAACTGGCACTGCAGAGGCTGCGGACAGCTTCACAGCGCTATGCTCAACCACCTGCGCCACCAGGGGAGGCCCTCTGTCTTTGGGGGGCCTCCCCGGTGGTGCAATGGGCTGAGTACAGCACTATGAGGCTGTCTGCAGCCTCTGCAGTGCAGGTTTGATTCCAGGTCAGCCAGGGAGCTACCCACATGGCACAGTAGACCTCTCTTGTCTTGTCCACTGCTCCCCTCAGCACTGTTTTCAGTCAGTCTGCCTGTTCTCTCCCTGCTCTGTCTCTGGTGAATTCTCTCATCCTCCTGCATCTTTGGCCTGTACCACCATTCTTGTATAAATAAATAAATCGTAAAAAAAACCTGGGGTGTAGGCCAGAGGTTGTGGGGGGGAGTGAGAGGATTCACCAGGGACAGAGTGGGGAGCTGAACAGGTGGATCTACTGACATACACTGCTGAGGGGAGCAGTGGGTCAGCTCCCTGGCCAGGATCAAACTCAGGCCACCGTGGTGATAGCACTGAGACTTAATCCCTAGGTCACCAGGGAGGGCCCAACATGCATTCTTTACAACAACAAAATTTAAGTAGCACCTAAAAAGTTGGAAAGCGCTTTAGCTAAATGTTGAGAAAACCAAAACCAAAATGATGAGGACACAAGCCCGCCGGGTCTCTTCCCAGCCCTCTGGGTCTCCTGTGCTTAGCTTCCCCCGAGACTCCCTCCCTGCTTTGAATAAAATCCACGTAAAGGACCTTATGTAAATGTCCCTAGTCACCTGTCCAGATTCATCTCTTGTAACTTTCCTAAACACTAACTCCTCAGCCTTAAAATTATTCCCAGTTTTCCAGAAGTACAATGACAATACCTGTTTCTGCACAAGGTGTCTCTGTTAATAAATTCCCTAACCCCCTTAGTCTCACCAGTTTACCTGGGTCATGACTCATCCTTGTAGCCTTCTCATAGGTGTTACTTCCCCATCCCTGACCACATGCTCCCAGCCTCCAGGGCACCCCTAAAGGAGTCTGCACTAGTCTTTTACACTTTAGTCATCACTGGGCTAAGCTGTGTTTCTCTGAGTCTAGAAATGAGGATACCAGATGAAAAGGTGGGGGCAAAGCATAGAGGGGCACCAGGGACTTCTTGGTGGTTGGCTTGGGATCTATAGAAATGAAATTGTATTTTTCAGTTCAAATATAATTTTTAAAATGGTGCAATTATAGCTGGGGTCCTTCACATGCCTATCCCAGGCACTTGCTCAAAATTTCAGGGTCAGGGCTTGCCCTGGTGTTTGGTGCTGTGAAAATGCCAGGGAGTTCCAGCATAAATGAGAGAAGTATCCCAGAAGACTTAACAGTATGTCAAGTAAAGGGTGGTTTAAAAAAATATATTTTCAGTTGCATTATTCTTTTTATTGAGGCAGAGTTGATTCACAACACTGTGTGATTTAGGGGTACCGGCTCACACCATACCTACCACCTGCACCAATGGTCTTCCACCATAGTCCCTGGGTCCCCTGTCTTTGCTCTCCACCCTTCCCCTCTGGTAGCTTCATTCCTACACTCCCATTTCTAGTGTTTATTTTGGTTTAGTTTGTCTGTTCCTTTGTTTCCTTTCTTTATATTCCACATATGAGCTGGATTTGTCTTTCTCTGAAGTTCTTTTTTTTTTTAATCTCTAGTAATTTAGCATAGGGATTGACAAACAGTCGGAGCTCAATAAATGTTTGATGATGAGCTAGGAAGTGAGTGAACCTTTTAAAAGGTATTAAAAACTGAATCTGTCCTAATCCTAGGTCACAACTAATGATTTAGCCAGAGTAGTTTGAGGGGCAGCTTGAGAGCGTGATTCAACTCATGAAAATGCTACACGGGTGACATGGAAGCAACATTTGTTCTAAAACCTCAGTTGGACCCTTCAAAAGATATGAGGCTGTGTTTTTGAGATTGCCACATCTTGATAAAACCATAAAAGTAATTCTCAATGGTAAAATAAAACTCCTTTGAAAACATTAATAATCATGAATCCCAATACATGAGAACAAAACATTATTGCTTTCAAAGCCAGATATTCCTCCCAAAAGAGACCTGAGGCTACTGTTTCACTGCAGATACTGATGGAACCTGAACCGAATATAAGCAGCAATGTTGCGTGCTCAAGCATCTTATCCCTTAACTTACTTGCCAAACAGACCCAGACTTCTTTCCTCCAAAGCTGGAGCAAGAATCAATTAAAATATATAATAAGGTGTTCACTGGCTAATACGGCAGTTAACTTTAAGGAGCATTTCAAGCCTCTGAGTTTTTAGCAACAGAACTGTTCTTTCATTCACTCTGTAAGATCTATAATTGAAAGAATAACATGAGACACCTTTTATCAGCTCCACCATCCCAGTTCCTGCTTTGATAACTGCACAAGGAGAAGCTCGGGCACTTCAAGTTACCCAATTACATTTGATTAGCTAGTCAAAATAATATAATAGCTTTCATCACCCAAGGAAAACTTTTGAAGAATTCTGTTGGCAACATTTCTCCACAAACACTAATCTGTATCATTATTTTATAAGGGGAAATGAAAGAGTAATACCTTCACTCGGTAATAAGCAAAGTCTAATTCATTACAACTTTAGATCAAAAAGAGCAGAAAGGTGGTGACAGAATGTGTGTGGTAAGGCACCATCGGTAGAGATTTCAGGAGGCAGGATATAGTAGTCAAAATAAAACAACAGACCTTCGAAAGAGCCAACATTTCAGAGAACATGTCTGAAAACAGGATGTGCACTCAAAACTCGAGATTTGCTGGAGAACTATTTGGTGACCACGGGCCTCTGTGTGTATGTAATTATTGTCGATGAATGTATGTGTGCCTGTATAATGCCAGGAGCACAAATTAGGAAGTCATTGCAAACATTATTCTGGAACTTTTCAGATCACCAAGGATATATCTTTAATGCTGCTTAACATAAAAGACAAGATGTATATCACCGTTGCAGAGGGCGACTCTCCTTTCAGCCTTGAGTCTGTTGATTCAACATGTGTCCACTGTCTACTTTGTTTCAGCCCCAGAAAAGATATGTTTTTAATTTAAATGAAATAATTATACTGCTCTCCTAGGTAAAATATCCTGTAAACAGGGTATTTAGAAATGCGATAGTCAATTTTTCCTGCTGTAAACTGGAAAAACCAACACTGAGAACCACTGATGAAAGAGCAGTTACACCCTCGTGCCCGGAATTAGCAAGAGATGGGCGCCTTTAAATGGAACCATCCGAGGTGACATTCCACCTTTGCAATGCTCTTGTTGCACAATAAAGGACAGACTTTAGACTTGTTGGCCAATTATTCTATCTGTCATGTAAAGAAAAAGCATTCTTACAGAATTAGAAGTGGATCAAGTTTGGCTGTAAAGTTAATCCAGAATGTTGTGTAATCCTACTCAAGATAATATAGTCTTCTTTTAGTTTTGTGAGAAATGATCAACAGTCGTGCCCAACAGCGCAGTGTACTTCAGACTTCTAATTTCCCTCCTCAAAGTCTCTGGCTAGTCCTTCAGAGTACACCCGATATGAGGAATTCACTGAGCCAGTCTGCTAGGTAAAACAATATGGCATTTGGAAATGATTTCATTTTGGAACCCACTGGCATAGGAAACATTGGCGGCCCTTTTTTTGGGCTGTGTGGAGCTGAAGATAAGCATGAAGTAGAACTACTTTGCGGTGCACAGAAACCTTCACCCTATTCAAAACCAAGAATTTCGAAGTTGCCTTCCTGTAGGGGCTGTAGGGATGCATGCGCAGTTACTGTGCAGAGACGGAGCCAAGAGTCTCTCCTGCAAGGTAAGCTGTGCCCAATGTGGGGAAATCACCTTGCTGGCATCCACCACTGACAGGTGTTCCACCCACTCTTATTGAATACAGCCCACTTTTAGGGCAACCTACCGAAGTTCTTTTCCTTCCCCACTCATCCTCCAGCCTAGAAAGTAGGGGTTGCCCTCCTTGCTGGAACACATTTCCATCCTGAAGGGCAAACACAGAGACCGCTGAGGACAAGGGTTAGCACGGTGCCACACAGTCCTAACCCAGAAGCACAGCTCCAAGCCAATCACAGCAAGCAGGCCCTCAGACACCTTGGGTTCATTTTTACACAGATGAGAAAAAGTAGGTCTCTGCTGATGTCTGAAAGAAATGCAATTCAAGGGCCTGTTTTATTACATTGTTGCACTTAATGTTGCCATTTCCAAGAAACTGTGGGTGACAATGTTAAGTGAGTACTTACTGCAATGTCTATTATAGGAGCCTCTGGGACACCTGAGGCCTTAGAGGGGACAGAAGAAAATCAGGTTGAGTAAGAAAAGAGACAGGGAGTCTAGAGGTGGAGGTAGAGGTGAATGGAGAATATAAAATGATATGGAAGGCAGGCAAGTCCCGGAGAAGATGGGCAGGCCTCCTGCCACTGGCTGCATGAGCTGAGCCTGGTGTATGGGGAATACAGAAGTGCTGAGGGAATTAGGTTTTGAGTAGCAGACATTTATGAAAGTCCCAGCTGCTAGACTAGCTGACGTGGTATATGTCGTTCTTGAGTGTGGGTGGTGTTCTTGGGTTAGAGATTAATGTCTTTAATGTGAAGAATAGCTTAAATGCTCAATTTCTATGCAGCCATTCTGCAAATGGATGTTGTGCCCTCAAAGATTTGTATGATCTACTTCCTAAGCTGTAGGAGAATAAGTCAGAGCAAAGTCATTCTTTACTTAGGCTGGAAAATATAAAGACCATTTTACCCCATAGGTTCAGAGGGCAAAGTCCTTCAGAAGTATTAAGGGGTGTCACACATGAGTCATATTTTTGGAGTTTTTCTTTTCTACCTGTTACCTGACTTTGTATGACATGTGCAGACAGGGAGGTGAAGGGATCCAGAGATTCAGGGGGCCCTAAGATCCTTGAGGTACTCGTGTGCCTTGCTAGGCAAGTCCAAGTACTGGCATAAGCAGGGACCAAATTTACCCTCAACAGTTATATACATGCTTCCAGGCAGGCACACACTGGCAAAACTGTTTCCACTGATTATGCAATAGAACAGGTGCTGGGCACTGGGGGGCTAAGGGCAGGGAGACTGTCCAAGTATTCTCTAGTCAGGGAAGAACTCAGGAAAACTGCACACCTAACTGCCTCATTCTGTGCACCTCCAGATACAGACTGGTTTTACAGACTAAGGCTTAGAAGCCCCTGAGAAGCTTCTACAATCAGTGGCCCACCTGCATCCCTTTCTGATGCAAACTTCTCTGTACTCACGTTCCGATTCTGTCCCCTGCTGAAATACATAAGGGAAAAAAATGACATAAGAGTAGACCATTGAATATAAGCCTCTCTCTGCAGTTTCAGAAATCACAGAGATTCTGCAGACCTATTTTTAAAGTGGTACTGACCTGGGCATAGTGATAATGCTAACCATTATAAGTCCTCTACAGTTTACAAAAGACTTTCATGATTAGTTTCTATTTTAATGACAGCACTACCACACATTAGCTATGTGACTTGGGGCAAGTCAGACAATGTGTCAAGGTGGCCTTATCTGGCCCCCTGCATGGGAGTCATCTGTATGAAATGAGATAACACAGACAAAACACGATTGTCTGACTCGTAGTAAAGGCTCAATAAATGGCAGCTATTATTGGTATCCATTGTCTAAGCTGTAGTCAAGGAAAAATGGAAGCATTTTTGTTGACTGTGTATTTCCTAAGCCCTCACCTGTGACCAATACCCCAAGTTTTGGAGGCCGATGAGCTCCCTAGGTTTTTTGTTTCCATGTCTTTGCTTTTTCCATACCTCTCTATCCTCCCAAACTGATTTGGTGGCTGCACATTTGATTAAACTATTTCATTGGTTCAAAACCTGCTTAGCAAAGTCTTACTATGCATCTCTTGTGGGTCACTGGAACCCTGAGAAGTAGAGACTGTTTGGAAAGAACGTGTTACTATGTGACAGTCTTCCACCCTTGGGAGACCTAATGCTGTACTTAGTTCACCAGAAACCAAACCAGAAAATGACCCAAAGCACCTAGTACTGCAAAGGCAAACTGGGCATCCAACAGAAGCTAGTTCTTCCCCCTTCACCATATGACCTTGAGCAAAGCAAGGAAAATGCTGGTTTCTCCCCTTTTCTTTTCTTTCTTTCTTTTTTTTTTTTTTTTAAGATTTATTTACTTATGTATACAAGCACTGGGGTACAGTCAGAAGCACAGGAGGGTGAGAGAATTCACCAGAGCCAGAGCGGGGAGCAGAGCAGGCACAAGGACCGAAGTACACTGCTGAGGGGAGCAGCGGGCACAGCAGGAGAGGTCTGCGCGCCATGTGGGACCCTCGCTGGTGGCCAGGGAGTGAACCGGCACTGCAGAGGCTGCGGGCAGCTTCGCAGCCCAGCGCTCAACCACTGCGCCACCAGGGGAGGCCCCCATTTTCTTTTTTTTTAACAAAGATTATTTATGCATACAAGAGCTGGGGTACAGGCCAGAGATACAGGGGGTGAGAGGATCCACCAGAGACAGAGTGGGGAACAGAACAGGCAGACTGACTGAAGTACACTGCAAAGGGGAGCAGTGGGCGAGTCAGGAGAGGTCTGCTGTGCCATGTGGGCTTCTCCCTGGTGGGCGGGGGATTGAACTCATGCTGCAGAGGCTGTGGACATCTTCATAGTGTGGTGCTTAACCCCTTGTGCTACCAGGGAGGCCCTGATTTCCTCCCATTTTCTCTACTGTTCATAGTCAGACACCTTGGCCATTGTCCAGTTAAATATGGATGTCTTAAGTGTGGTTGGCTGTTGTCCTGCTCTCCCCATGATTCTAGTAGATAGTTAAGTATATTAACAGGAATAGGAAGCTGCTCGGGTGTGTGAACAAGCAAACCCCGAATGAAGTTATGATCATCACTACTAACACTCCTACTACCCAATATCCCCACTTCCCACAGAGCACATGTCACAGGGAAAATACTAGCATATCGACTCTGAATTAATCTTCAGGGAGTCTGAAGTGGGTTTGCAGTTTGCTCTCATGGCATCAAGCAAGTTTAATACTTTTTAAATAAATAACTAAAAACTGTTAGGAAAAAATTTCAGGATTGACAGGAGTTGGGGTGGGAAAGAGTTGACTACAAACAAGCACAGATTTTTGGGAGGTGATATCCACTATTCTCCCCAAATTTACAAAGACAGAAGAAAATGGCAGTATTCATCTCTGGTGGAACAACAGTCAATTCTCACATTTTCTTGTAAATCTATGTAGGGTAGATTTATATTATTCTGATATCATTTTGATGAGTAAGTGAAATGATAATAGATGCCTTAATTTGCCTTGAGATAGAAACATTTCTTGCCTCTTGATTGGAAATAATTTTGAAGTTCATTTTCTGCTCTCACCTCTCCCCAGTAACACTTTGCATCCAGAGAAATGAAAACAAAGGTAAATGGCTGTCTGTAACTTTCGGAGCACCCGTGAGCACTCAGGGATGAAGGCACTGGACTTCCAAGTCTGAACCCCAATACTCAGGCAAAGCAGAGGAGAGCAGGATGCCAGGTGAGTGTGGAAAGATGCAATACAGGGTCTTTCTTCTCCCCAGTCCCTCTAGAAAAAAGGGCTGAATAAATTTATAAAGGATGTGGCTTAAAGATGGAGACTTAATCACGTTTCAGACTATAGACCTGTATTGGTTTTGAGTGGTGAACTAAAGTCTGGGGAATGAGATCTAGAGAGTTAAAAACAAGTAAAGAAGACTCTGCTCAGAAAGCTTCTGTAATAGACCAGAGAAAAAGAAAGATTTACTCCCGCCCCGGGTCTCCTCACTTTAGTGAGAACTGCGCTTCCTTAAGCGTGGCTGAATTCCTTTGGCACAAATCCCTGAGTCTCTGAGACCTATTTTCCACAGAAAAGCTAGTTATGTGTTTCAGTCAGGATTAATTCAGATTTTTTTTTTTAATTCCTGCATGTATCAGAATCATTCACTGAGGGGAAGTTCTTCTACATCCATTCCCAGAATCCTCTCAAGACATCTGGTCTCATTAGAAGATCAAATAGATCCTCTAGGTTCATTAGTTGTTCAACAAAGTGGGAATTATTTTCTCACTGCTCATGTTTGCAAGATATTCAAGATGCAGATGAGAGGAAAATAACTGGAAGAAAAATTACAATCTTGACTCACAAAGACAACCCTGTCAGCATGTTAGGGAGGTATTGAGTTTGCTCTTAATTTCCAAAACCACAAGGAAAAAGTCAGAGTAGAGATCATTGTAAAACAGCTTCGGTTTGAAGATTGAAGATGTGTGGGCTGTAAGATCACCTCAGGAAACACTTCTAATGCTTTTATAATTAGTGGTTCATCTATCACCTGGTACAATCCTGAAATCTCTTTGTGCACATCTTCACGGACACAAAAAAATAACCCCATGCTGAATATGCCCAGCATGGAGTAGAACACAGGGTATGTGTGTATTTGGCCATTTTAACTTCTGAGTAAACCCACATGTTGTGGCTGAAGCAGATTCACCCAGAGAATGAACTGTGAGCAGAGAGGAAAGCACCAGAGAACGCTCTGGATACTCTTTCAAGGCTCAGAAGTGCTAGCTGATAGAGCCTCCATACTGAATGATACCCCAGTGGTCTGAGAGAATTATTGTAGCTTCCTACAGTGACTCATTCACTCCCAGGGGGTTGTCTGGGCTCAGAGAAAATGTCTTACTGATTATTAGTGAGTTAGTAATTGGGTGGTTGTGATGGACTTCTGATAACCTAGAGATTTGCTTTAGTGTCACTGGCAAAGGCCTGTATTTCTGAAGTCAAAGGTTATGCTGTCTATCTGTGCGTGTGTGTAGGGGAGTGGGGGGTGAACTATGCAAAAGTACTTCTACTTTGAACCTGAATCTGCCAGTCCCAGTCATGTCCTTCGATAGTTGTACAATCTTGGTCAAGTCGCAATCTCTGTGAGCCTCAGTTTCTTCTTTATAGCCTCTGCCATCTCTTCCAGCTCTGGAAAAATCGATAGTTTCTAGGCAGAGTATCTTTTAGTGCACATGTGCCATTTCAAAACTACTAGTTTCAGGGTGTGGATTTCATCTTCCTCCACGACTATTTTGGATGGGGATTGGGAATGCCCCTTACAGGTGTACAGAAAAACAAAGAAACCCACTTACATATGTCCTCTGTCCCTTTTTCCCTTATCATCTTTCAGTCCTGAAATTGAATGGTTTCTATGAGTATAATGTCCCCCCCACCACTTTTTTTTCTTTTTATGTGCTATTTCACAAGCTGCAAGTTTTGGCATTGTAAATTCCGTTTTTATTCCAATATTTTGAATGGGAACCATTTGCCTCTTGAAAATATGTAGAAAAACAAATCAACCCACCAAATTTCCTCTGGTCCTTCTAGTCTACATAGTAAGCAAATGACATCTGTATTCCCTTTTGTGCTTCCCAGAGCATGTAACTTGTCCTGGGAAAGTGAGCAAGAGGTCATTGGCCTTATTATTCTATTATTTTCCAGGAGTAGATACGTGACTTTTCATTTTGGGTTGTAGAGGTATATAAGCCATCGGCCCTTTAATTACCCACTTGATGGATAATTTGATGTGAAGTTAAAAAGGAGAAGACAAATGTTTACAGGGAAACATTAATCTTCCCAAATGATATTTAAAAACCACAACTTTTACAAGAAGATAGGGTGAGGACTAGGGGCTGCAGATTTCAGAGATGTCCTGGAGGCCTGCCAGGAGGAAGAGACCTTTTTAGGAGTTGTTAGTGGTGGCAGGTAGGCCACGCCCAGTGGATGGCCCACAAAACCTTCCCTAGAGCAATGTTTCTTGAATTGTAGGTCATGCCTCATTAGTGGGTCATGAAATCAATTTAGTGGGTCATGAGAGGAAATTTAAAAAAAACATGAAATAAATTAAACTAAAGCAGGGTAGAATAGGAAATATCAGCAGGCCTGGTACAGAGAAAGTCATGCACTCTCGAGTGAAACTTTGGACCAGGGGTGGGGTGTGTGTGGGTGTTGGTGCACAAATTCCAGTATAAAATATATTTCTTCCTGCAGGTCATAATTAAATAGTCCCTGCCCTGTGGAGATATTACAAGGCACATGTCTCCATGCAGGCTTCAAAGGATTTGCTCTGTTTTTAACAAAGTAAATTTATAAACAAAAGGAGAAGGAATTCTTCCAAATGTGAATAGTCATCTCACAACTGATTTTAAAATGATTTCTAACATGCCCATTGAATTGCTGCTGTACAGTCTAAGCCCACAGCAAACCGTGAAGTGGGTCAACTTTGTCTGTCTTTCCAGGGGGTGTCTCCTACCCCTGACAGGTACCCCCAGGGCTTCTACTTTCTTTTCCTTTCCTTCTCCAAACCATGGAAGACTGCAAATACACTGAACAACAGCATGAGTGAGTGCCAATGCTTTAATACGACCCTCTCCCCAAAGCATCTGTATTTTAGCCAAATATTAAGCCTCATGCTCTTTACAAGAAGTTTCACAGAATTTAGCTATAGGGGGAGAAGAGAGAAATTTGAAGAATGTTTCTCTAGCACTCTTAAAGTCCTGCCTATGACTGTCTATCTTTGCTATATAACACTTCCCTTTTTTACCTGTAGATAATGTGCATTAATTGGCCTGAGAATTTGTGAAATACAACCTTCGCTATCTTTATGGGTTTTAATAGTTATTTATGAAAGTCTTATAAAATCCTTGAAAGGAAATAGTTTGTGTTACTCAACTTTGTATTCATCTTGCACCCAATTTACAGCCTGTTAAATTTTAGTCTCCAGTTAGTAGTAATTAATGAGTGTTTTTTATGCAATGATATTCCTCTGTAACACATGTGGTGATGTTTCCCAAAGCCAAATTACTAAGAGAGTACAAGTGTATTTTCTTTCTGAATATAAAGATAGTATTATGCAAAGCCTCCACACACTTGCCATCAAGCAACAATAACTTCTATTTATTTATTTTTTTAAACTTTTATTTTCTTACATGTTAATCTTTTCTTTTTTTTTTTTAAAGATTTATTTATTTATTCATATAAGCACTGGGTACAGTCAGAAGTGCGGGAGGGTGAACGAATTCACCAGAGCCAGAGCGGGGAGCAGAGTAGGCAGACTGAAGTACACTGCTGAGGGGAGCAGCGGGCAGCAGGAGAGGTCTGTGCGCCATGTGGGACCCTCCCCAGTGGCCGGGGATCGAACCGGTGCTGCTGTGCGCGCAGCTTCGCAGCCCAGCACTCAACTGCTGTGCCACCAGGGGAGGCCCAACAATAACTTTTAAATAGCACCCACAGACTGAGTGTACTATCTGCCAGGCTCCCCCTACTAGCTGCTTTCCTCAGTCTCATTATTCCTTGCAAACCTTCAACAGATGTATTGTTATTTCCTCTATACCCTCTACCCTATAAAGGCTCAGGGACCCACAATCTGCCCACGAGGACACAGTTATCGAATGGTTAGGATATAATTCGAGTCCATCTGATCCCAAAGGCTGTGCTTGCCTCATTTTCACATTTCCTAACCTTTCAGCTCTGTTTAAAAATTATCATTTTCATTTTCTAATACCTTGCCTGTCCTTTTAAGGATAAAATTGTGAAGACTCTAGAAAAATTTTTGTTTTTTGTTTTTGTTTTTAATTTTAAAATGCCCTGGTTATCACAGAGCAGTTATATCCTCTGAAAACATCCAGCCTGTTGGCTCAGTGCCCTCTGCTTGCCCCCTGTGACCTCAGTATCCCCCTTCAGCTCTTCAAAGGTAGCAACAAAGGACAAGAAAGCCAAATGCCACATATGTCAGTCTTAATAGAATGCCCACGGTCATCTCTGAACTGAATCGGATCTGTTCACATAACTGTTTCTGTTTCCATGTACAAATCACAGTGCTTCATGAAGACTGCTATGGTTTTCATATTCCCTGGTCCATCTACACAAACAATTTTGAACAAAAGCCCTTCAAAGTCTGTTTTATACTGCCCTTCTGGAAGATTTTAAACTCAACTGTCTTAGGTGATCAGAAGCCACAGTAATTCAGCGGCCACTTCTCCCCCATGACAGCAAAAGGAAGAAGTTGATTTTGTAACAGATACAAGCCCAGAATTCACTTTTGTTTTTACAACAGAGAATGAAACCACCGACTACCAAACGCGGCATGGTACCTACTTCAGATTCCAAACTTCTATATAACTTTCCCATATTAATTCAGTCTTAAGTTTCAGGAAATAAAATAATTATGTAGTTAAACAGAGATCCTTATACAAACAAGTACTGTGTTTACAACGTACCAATCCATTAAAATCAATGACAGACATAGATTATGAGACTAAAACCCCAGCCAAGTACACTAGCCCTCACCCTCACATGTGCCACTCCCCAGCCAATGACAGTCAACATCCTATTGGAATCTGCTCTGAAAACAATGGCTTTACCAACCTAATGTTGAGGTAAACAGGCAGTAAATACCGACTTGATACTATTAACCAGTGGTATCATTTGCATTCTTTTGGGTCTAAGCACAACTAAATGTTGGCATCTTTTTTCCTTTGAAA